GGTACCAACTCAATGGCACATAATAACAGCAAACACCCTCTTCAAATCAAGTGTTTACCACAAGCCCAGTCCAGTTCCCTCCTTTTCTCCTTTTTTCTGATTTAAGCCTGCACCCTAATTTTTCCTGTCACCCTCATATCCCCGTACTCACTAGGAACCCTGGGTGATGTAACTTTCTTTGGAACTCATTCTTCTACTCTTGGGTCGTTTCTTGCTTCCTGTTCACCAGACAGTCTTCCTTGCCAAAGACTTACCCAATAACTTCAGGAAATCCTACATCCTACCTATTTCTTTATCCTTGCCACTGCTTCCTGGATAGTCTGCACTATACTTTCTTATGTTGGTGTCTCTAAGGTTTTGGAAGTAATGGTTACTGTACATGTCCTCGGGTATGCTGACTTTTCATAAGCTACAACTGGAGTTTAAACTCAAAGGCAAAGTACCTGAGCATTGCCCCCCTTTGTAAACTTCTCATATACCTGGTGACTTGACTAACAAACCTGGGCTCCTGGCTTGACAGTGATCACTCACCATTCTGACCGTCTAGTGGCACTTGGCTCAGCACGGTGAGGCCGACGATGATATAGTAAGCAAGTCCAAACCAGTACTGCACGATATGTATCACACCATTGGAGAAGACGCTGACATAGAAACACTCCAAGAGTCTTCGCAAACTGTGCAGCCACAGAAATGCCATTACTAAGAACGCAGACAGCGCCAGCTCACCTCCTACAATCCAGAAAGCAGCATGTTCAGCATCTCTTTGCTGGGACGAATGGAAAATCAAGCTTTTTCCTACTGTTAAACAGAGCACTAAACAAGATTAAAGTTAGGAAAAACCCAATCCCACTGCCATTGAGTTGGCCTGTCTTATAGCAACTCTACATAGGGTCTCCGAGTCTGCAAACCTGTAGGGGAGCAGACAGCCTCATCTTTCTCCCATGGAACAGCTGGAGGGTATGAATCACCAAACTTACCATTAGCAGTCCAATGCTTAACTCACAGCACCACCAGGTTTCCTTAAACTTCGGATGTTGCTGTTCTTAAGTGCCTGTGAGTTGGTTCCGATTCATAGCAACACTATACAGGGTTTCAAGGAGTGGCTGGTGGGTTTAAACCACCAACTTTGTGGCTAATAGTCCAGTACGTATCCTACAGCGCCATATCGGGACTCCTTAAAGTTAGGATAGTGGTGGCATTAGTGTGCTGTTGGTTCCAACTCAGAGCTCCCCTGTATAGGGTTTCTTAGGCTGTAAATCTTTATAGGAGCAGAAAGCCTATCTTTCTCCTGTGGAGCAACTGGTAGATTTGGACTACTGACCTTGAGGTAAGCAGCCCAGCATGTAAAACCACTCTGCTGCCAGGGCTTCTGAATGTTGATATCGGGTGCTAACAATCTTTGAATGTCTTCCTTTATTTTTTTTAGCATTGAGGAAATGGGCTAAATGAAGCCGAGGGATTTGTATCAAGGTTGCTCTGAAAGTTGGTGATATGATAGAGGTGAGGCAAACCTGGGTCTCTCAGCTACGTTTTCATGTGAAAATGTTCCAGGCTAAGTGGATGTCACTGTTAGGGGTCTGCACTCTGGTTCCTGATACTGATAGCTTGGCTCATTGCTGCCAAACCAACTTTGAATCATGGCATTTCGAGTGTTAGAGTAGAACTGTTTTATAGAGTTTTCATGGCCATAAGGCACACAACACCAATCTTTACAGAGAATTCCTGGGTGGCAAAAATGGTTAAGTGCTCAACTATTTGCTAAGAGGTTGGTAGTTCAAACCCATCTAGAAGGATCTCAGAAGATCTGGAAATCTGCTTCTAAACAGTTACAACTTAAAAAACCCTGTGGAGCAGTTTTATTGTACAGATTAGGGGTTACCTCCATGGTAACTAACAACAACAACAACAACACACAAACACAAATATGAGGGGGCTTCCAAAAGTTTATGGAAAACTGGAATGAAAAGATAACACAATTTTCCACAAACTTTTGGAAGTACACTCATACACACACACACACACATCTACATACACATATCATTAAGGTAACAGCTTAATGAATTTTTATAAAGTAAGTCCACTTATCCTATTCATATAGCCAGCACCCAGATTAAAAAACAGGGCATGACCAACACTTCACGCACCCAAGTGTATCCCCCACCCTGACTTCTACCAACCTAGATTAGAGTTGCCTTTCTTGGTTTAAAATTTATTTATTTAAATAAACTTATTTAAAATAAATTAGAACCTATCTTTAATTCTCTAAGAACAGATTACAATAAGCAATCATCCAAATAAGACTCCTCACAACGCAAGTATGACAACCAGCCCCACAGTAAACAAATGAAGACATGACGTTTACATGAGTTTGAAGGAAGATTCCCTGAGGTATCCTCCACTCCAAAGAAGATTTGCATGGGCTTCTCCTTATAATTGTCATCTTTTGCAACAAGTTCCTCTGGTTCTACAGACAAAGATTGTTCTCAGGGAGCCAGTGGTTTGGCTGTAGGAACAAAAGGCAGAAACCAAACCAGGACGCTATTTCTAATTCTGCGCCTCACACCCTATCTGACCTTAGCTTACACTACTCTGTGGATGTTTACCTTCAATTCTGTATTTTAAACATTGTTCTAAGTATCCTTTACTCTAGGCAATGTGAATCAAATGTAGTCTATTTTGTCAATAGCAATTGATAATCAGCTTTCTTCTATAATCAAAGCATCATAGCAAAAACAAAACAAAACAACAACAACAAAAAACAAAACCCTGTTTTCTATTTACCAAAAAGTAATTTCCAGTCATATTTCTGGATGGAGTTCTGTAACATGTTTGTAGTTGGAATGGCAGAAATGATAACTGTTTCCAGGCAAACCTAAGGGATTCTAAAAGTTTTCTCCCTTAAGTGGAAAGATTTCTCTATACATTTATTGACAGCAGTAAAAATATCAGAGGGTGACCAGCAAGTCCTGGTCACAGCATCACATCCTCAGAGAAGCCCGGAGACTGAATGCTAACTCCTAGCTCTGCTATCTTCTAGTGAAGGGTGTGGGGACAGCCTTTGGTCCTCCCTCTATGGGTTAAGTCAGACTCTTTTTGCTCTGACATCCCCTTGTCAGGCCTAGCTGGGAGGAGCTTCCCTGCAGACAGGAAAGGCAGGCCCACGATATAATGATTGTAATTAGCCAAGGAACTCCTTACCTTGGAACTGGGCAGCCCCCAGAATCCTGAGCACACCATGAAGCCAGTTTGGAAACGGCGCTCCCAGGAACAGAGACTGAATAAGGCACCAGAGCAGGAAGCCATTCCACACCACGGAGATGATATAGAAATGTGAAAAGTACCTGCAAACACAAAATCATCATCAGGGTAGCAACAGCAACAGCGACAAAACCACACCCACTGCTGTCTAGTAGATTGAACTCATGGCAACCCTATGTGCTATAGAGACCTTGACATGGTTTTCTAGGCTGTAATCTTTATGGAAGCCTATTGCCAGGCCTTTCTTCCACAGTGCTGATGGGTAGGTTCAAATCATCAACTTTCAGGTCAGTAGCTGAGAGCAAGCCATTTGCACCACACAAACCATCATGCAGCAATATTATTTTTAGTTTCTCTGTGTGACTTTCTTCTACTTCCAAATTATATTTTTGCTTTTTAATAGAATTTGAGTTCTATAGGTGTATGGTTTAAAAATTTTTTCTTTCAAATGATTCTGACTCATAGAGGCCCCATAGAACAGAGTAGAACTGCTCCATGGGCTCCCAGGCTGTAAATCTTTACAGAAACACATTGCCTCATCTTTCCCCAATGAGAAAGGCAACCAACCTTTAAGTAAGCAGCCCAATGATTAATCAATTGAAATGACAGAACCAGATAACTTCTAAGAAGAAGAGGGCCTTTCTGAGGTGTACCAGAACAAAACTGACCTGGTTACAATTACCTTTAGGGTCAATTAGCAGTCTCTCTTATCTTTGGGTAATAAGATTGGGCTCAAGTTCCAAAGAAGTGGGCCACAGGGCCAGGCAAAGAGCATGACCTCGATTGTGCTAACACAAGCCCAATTTGTGATAGATTTTTCACCCTAGGCAATGTTGTGGCAATAGCCAAGCAACAGTTACACAAGATTTGCACAACCTCAGAAAGAACGTTAAAGGCTTTCTAATGCAGTGTTTTTCTAAATTGTGTTGACTATGAGTAACTTTAATGATAACCCGACAGTGTCAGATTACCCAACAAGCAGAGTAAGCACAGGCTACTTGTGCTTACTTACTAATCAGTGGTCAATTTCACATATTGTCACCACATTCAAGATTCTACTTCTAGATATGGCTGGCATCTGTGTCTCTCCCAGCCCCATAGCCTCTTCCTGTAGAATCAAGTCTTGTATGGCACTGCAGGTTAATTCGCTGGACTACAAGGTTGGTTTGAACTGTAAGGTAAGTGGTTCAAGCTGTTCTTAGAGAATTAAAAACAGCAGAATTAGAAACAGAGCTGCTCCTTGGAAACTCTATATGGTTCACTATGAGTTGGAACCGACTTGACCGCACTTAACAAAAACAACAACATAGAATCGAAGTCTCTTTTTAAATTTACAATGTTTGATAGGGACCAGAGACTTAATAATCTGTAGTGAACAGTTTCACATGCTTTTTGGTAATCAGTAAGTACCAACTTGATGGCACCTAACAACAACAACAATAGTTCTCCAGGAACAGCAGTAGGCACTGCTCACTAGCTCACAGAGAAGAAGTATACAAATCAAATAAAAAAACAAAACCACAAAACCAGTACAATTCATACTATCGATGTTAATTTAATATGAAAGATGATGTCAATTTGCTGAAACAAAATCACCTCACGTGAGATTCTGGAGGCCCCTTTATCTGCATGTCCTCCTGATTTTTCCAGACCAACTGAAAACCTCTCTGACTCTATCTATAGTGTGCTTAAGGTCATGTGGCCTTCCCTGGGGTCTCATGTATGTTTTGTCAATAGTCCATGACAAGTATTGCAAGCGGATCTGGAGGCAAAAGAGGAGTAAAGTCAGGTGTCCTCTAGAAGATCTAGAATATACTTCCAAGAGAATCAGAGACCCCTACAGCACACCAACCATGCCTATCACTGGGGCTGCCCTCTCTGGCCACCCACAACCAGGCTGGTTTCCATTCTGTCCCACAGCTCTGAAACGATCTGATGAGAATCCTGCTGGTACTTTTGATTCTGACCATCGGCAGGCTCTAGAACCTAGTTTCCTCATCAGGATGCATCCCTACCCACTTGGCTGCTGGCCTCTGGTTGCGTTCCAGGGTCTGTCTTAAGACAGTTCCCAGAACTAAGCCCAGGTGTGATCTACTCAGAGAGAGCCGAGTGGGAAGTCAGCAGAAATGGGAGGGGTTGGCATCTGAGTAGCATCTTCTGGGCCGGCCACTTGATCTAATTAAGTTTTTTACAAATACTTATTGAGCACCAGGAATGTGGACATCATGGGGAACAAACAGATCATGTCCTTGGCTTGATGTAAAGTTTACCTGTCAGCGGAGAGACCTATATCGTGGATGGTTGTTGATAAAACACGGGAAGGGGACAGAGAGGGAGGAGAGGGGAGGCAATTCAGGATGAGTGGTCAGGATGGGCTCTTCGGAAGCAATGATATTTGGCTAGAGTGAGTATCCCTTCTGGATTTCTGGGGAAAGAATTTCCTAGACAGGGGAAACAATCACCAGGAAGGCCCTGAGGGGGGTGTATGCCAGGTGTGCTCCAGGCCAGGAAAGGACACCTGTGTGACTTGTGTGAATTAAGGAAGGGGCAGAGAGAGGCATGAGGGAGTTGGCAGTGGGTAGACAGATGCCACAAGGCCTTGTAAGAAAGCTGGCTTCTTCTTACGCATGATGGGGAGCTGAGTAGAGAAGTGTCTTGAACTGAGGTCTCTGGGTGGCGCAAATGTTTTGTGCTCACCTGTTAACCCACCACCCAGTGATACTGTGGAAGAAAACGCTGGAGCTTTGCTTCTGTACAGATTACAGACAAGAAAACTCTATGAAGCAGGCATATTGCTACACATGGGGTCAACTTCACAGTAGTGCATTTTTACTTATATTTGTGGTCAAATGAACTAATAGCTTATGATGTTCACAAGATCCCTCTGACAACTAGAGATGTCCTTTGTGGTGGAACTCTTAACATGCTTGGTTGCTAATCGGAAGGTTGGAAAATCAGGCCACTCACACTCTATGGCGCACAGTTCTTCTCTGACACACATGGGGTCATCGTGAGTCAGAAACAACTCCATAGCAACTGGTTTAGTTTTAGTTTCTGGAAACACTGTGGTGTTAACAGATCTCCTGACTGCCTTCAGAGACCTCAGCACAACTGCCTTGGACATCCATAATCCTACCTAGTCTCTTCAATGCAATCTACGCTTTACTATTAGGCAGATTAGTATTCATCATCCAATTCCAAATCTGCTTCCACATTTTCGGTATCTGTTAGAGCAGCACCCACTCTCCTGGTACCAACTTCTGTCTTAGTTCTACAGTGCTGCTATAACAGAAATACCACACGTGGGTGGCTTTAACAAACAGAACTTTATTCTGTTTAGGAGATTGCAAGTGCAAATTCAGAGTGCCAGTCTTCAAGGGGAGGAGTTTCTCTCTTTGTTGGCACTGGAAAAAGGTCCTCCTCTCCATCTGTAGAGCTAGCATTCCTTGGAGATCTCCATGTGTCTTGACATCAATCTTCCCCTGGATCTAGAACTTCACAGGTCCAAATGATAAACTCCACTCTTTCTTGGGCTTAGTAGGTCCCTCTTTCTTTGCTCATTTCTCTCTCCTTTTTTCTTGTAAGATTAAAGATGTTGTAGGCCATGCTTCTGGGAAAAGACTTCAGATTACAGTTGTGATGGGCATCAGGTATTTCCAAAATATCAAACCCACCACCATCAAGTTGATTCCAACTTATGACTTATAAGGACCCCAGGCAGGGTTTCCGAGACTGTAAATCTTGACAGGAGCAGAAAGCCTTGTCTTTCTCCAGCAGAGCAGCTGGGGGATTTGAACTGCTGACCTTGCAGTTTGTAGTATAGTGCTTATCGTACAGTGCCAGCACAGCTTCTTCAAAGGGTACTGCAGTTGACCCTTAATCCTCTTATAGATTTTTCATGTCATGGTGAGTCATCACATAACTGCCACATTACATCATTACATCACTACCAAACCACTGAGAATCATGGTCCAGCCAAGACGACACATATTGGGAGTGGGGGAATAGGGAGAGGACACAATTTCATCTCTGATGGGTAGGGTGGGGTGACACAGGGGTTTTGTTTACCCAATTTCCACCTGTAGAAAACATTTTCTATTCTATATTCCAATCATATCTCCTGCCTTTTGAAAGGAGACCACATTAAGATGATTTCATCTTTGAAACAGTCTTATAAAAGTTTGCATAGTCTTTATCTTCATGAGGCAGAAGAGGAAACTACGGCTCAGAGTGGCTAAGTTACATATTCTAGGTCATATCACCAGTGGCAGCATTTGGCACCAGACCCAACCCTGATGACTCCTACCATTGTCCTCCTACTCCTGTAGACTTGCCTATACCTGCTTTTCTGGGCCATTCATTGTCAGTACTGCTTTATATCCAACTTAAAGGCAACCAAGTCACTCAAGTGTGTTGGTAAAAACAGCTAAGCCACATCTTGCTGTACTCTACTTGTACCCAGGTGTTTTTGACTCACAGGCAGTAATTGTTTTGGTATATTCAATAGCTTTTGTTCGGCTTATCTGATTTCCCCTTGTAGAAAATATTTCTTTTCTTTATGCTAAGTCATGGAGCCCTGGTATGGCTCTGTAGGATAAGCACTGGACTACTAACCACAAGGTTGTCAGTTCAAACATACCAGATACTCCTTGGGACCCTATACAGGGTCACTGTAAGTAGGAATTGAATTGACGGCACTTAACAACAACAACAACATACCAAGTAACTACTCTTGCTTTTTTGAAAACCTAGCTCAAACCTCAAAAAGCATACCTAAAAATAAACTTCCTTGTTTTAGACACTAGACTGTCTAAAAAGGGTTTCTAATGCAGTGTCTGTCTGCCTTACTATAATATAAACTCTAAGAAACCAAGAATAGCTTTTAGTCTGTACTCTACAAATACTGGCTGTTATGGATTGAACTGTGTACCCTGCAAAATGTGTGCTGCAAATCCTAACCTCTATACCTGTAGTTAAGGTAGCATAGTGGTGATGAGTCGGACTGCTAACCTCAAGGTCAGCAGTTCAAAACTACCAGATGGAGAAACTTCCAGGGGAGAAAGATTAGGCTTTCTGCTCCCAT